AAATCTTGTTTTCCTCCATTTTACAACTGCTCTCAGTTCTAAAGCACCGTTAAAAGCGGAAGGGTCCAAAGCGTTACTTGTATGACCATAGTAAAGCAATTAACAGAGTTAGACTTCTGTTACTTTCTCCCTGCAAAAAACAGTTGCTGATGCACAATCTGACAAACCATCATTCAGACTGCCGAAGACTCGGTCAAGAGACACTGAACACAGTGGCTTAACTAACAACAAGAACAATTAGACTCCCGACGGGAGTTCACGGTCCTACACGATTCTCTCCAGTTTTGCTCCACAAACGTTTTACGTTCGACGCTATATTGAGTTCTCAGCTGCTATCCATAGCCAACCCCAAAAAGTTCACTACAAATCTGCGTCTGAATAAATCCTCATAAATGCAAACTATAAACTATCTCCATCCCGACAGCTTCTCCCCAAATATACTCCGATCAGTAGAAAAAAATAAAAATACCGTCACACTGCTGGAACTGGTTTAATCTCCTCAGCAGTCTTCTCAAGCAGTTCCGCTGTCAGTAATCCAGAACTGTTGGCTGGAACAGACATGTCCGAAGTGAACGCAGATATTGGAACATTTGAAAAAAACGGCAGCAACACTATCCACAAGGTTGGCACAGCGCCTCTACCCATGGCAGTAAACAAAACTTCAAATTAATACACCCCCGCAAATTTGCCGTCAGATAAACCAGTGTTAAGACTTCAAATGCTCAAAACCTTCCCAATCAACGCTATTTCAGGACCAAGTCATGCGCGCTCAAAATCCATCTGCCCTGCCTATCTGCAAGCTGTATGTGAAGAAAAGATCATTCTTGTTGACTTGTAAATTAACTGTAAAGCCTCTTGATCCCCTGTGACATTCAGCAGCACAAAAAATGACATTTATAACGCAGCATTATTGTACACACACTCAACACTCTACACTCGCAATTGCGATAAGCAAACAGTCACCGTGATAAAGACTTTGAAAGAAACTGGTACACAAAAAATTCCAACAAAAAATGTATTGCTTAAAATGCGCAAACTAAATAGAAGAAAGAACTATGCAGACTCATTAGATTTACTTCCTCCAATAGAGAAAAATAATTCCGACTAAGTAAATCACGTTATACATCTGATGACCTGTGATATAAGCTTTTAGAGACTCAACTAAAAAACTGATCAGTAATCAGACTCGGAAAACTCATAAAAATTCAGAATAAACAAACATTAGGGATGAATAAAAATAAAATCACAAGTAGGAAACAATAGAACTTTGAACCATAAATTAATATTTACATTCTAAAAGTAATTTGCCTAAAACACATGCTACACTCCGAACAATCAGCCTCAATAACATCAAGGAATTGTTAGATAGATACCTAGTAAAAATTTCAAGTAATCCTGAACAAACATCTCCCACAAAGGCATTTCAGACCTAAAAATAAGATCATATACGACAGCGTCGAGCAGATTTATCTAATGTAGACAAAGCTGCTGATCCGTTACCTATAAAAATCTCGATTGCACTTCATTAGTCCTCTTCAGAATACGAGGAACTGTATTAAACAAGGGATGACATTTTGTTTTGACCTGCAACCTATCGTTCTCCACCTTTCCTAAAAACACTTTATATGTATTTCAAGGAATGTCGAACTTAGTTGTATAATTAGGTAAAAATGTGAAATTACAGTCTACTAAAAAATTAAAGCTCACCATCTTCGAATATTCTCAAGAACGATTGACGCTAGTTTCCTCATGCTGTCAGAAGAACGAGGGTCCTTCTCCACAACTTCCAAAAGTGGCACTCCACCCTCATTACAAACATAAGCGCAGTATTTCTCTTCTAAAAAATATTTAACTATTCCTCGAAAATAAAAAAAAAAAAAGAAATTACATAAGTTTGTCTAAAAAACTTACTGTCCGTAGAAGTCAGGTTTGCTAACGCCCAAATAGCCCAATGTTGACTAGCTGGTGCATCAAACATAGGTATTAGACGCAATATCGGTTTAAATGACCGGTAATTGATGAACCGTCGAGCCGTCAGATCCCACGTTTCAGTTGCCTTGAAAACAATTCCGATACACAAACTACACTTAGAAAACATAGTGAGAACAAAGCATAAATGCTTAAGAAAATGAAAAAAAATTAATTTTGCATCAAGGAAAACCTTAATAATTTTCGTCATGACTTCCTGACGCGAAGCATTCAACTTGACCCAAGCTTCATCTCCATCACTAACCATATGGGCCAGGACGCCTGCACTATTATAACTTATTTCAATACCATCAGTTAAAGTCATCAAAAGGTCACTGCAAAAGTTTCATTCAGTTAAAACCAACAGTCACATTCCTTACTACAAATCACTGACGATCATGCCAAAATAAATAGCAGAAGGTGTTGCAGAAAAACAATGCCCCAATCTTGAAAAAGATTCATCGTAGAAAATTACCAGAAAATCTCGACATAATCATCATTCATCAACCGACTTCTAAGCTCCTTTACTTCCGCAATATTTCCAATAAGACCCATCATATTGCGTACTAGCTCAGTCTCCGTTTGAAATTGTTCATAACACTTGTGGAACAGAAGCAAACCTTGAGCGTCCAGGAAGCGCTTGCAGTTAACAGGTGTCTCATCTAAAAAGCGAGTGCAATTAAAGAATGACGTACAATCAAAAATTCTCGTAAGAACGACAAAAAATAACCAGTAATATTCCATAAAAAACTCCATCCAACTTCCATAACGTCATCACACTGTCCGCTGGCATTCTTACGCTGGATCTGTTCCAATATAACCTAAAGTAAAGAAAATGATCACAAAAAAAACAAAAAACACGAGTCGGCCGCATTTTTAATGAAAGCGAAAAGCTTAAAATGATTCAATTACTTCAATAGCTCCAATCTCTCCAACTTGCACTTTCTGTTCTCCTTCGACGTGACAAGCCATCGAATTCAGCAGGAAAACCACTATACGTTGTGTCAGATGGTCGTTATTATGATGCTTAAGAACTTTGACCAAAAGCAGAGCAACACGACTATAGTCAAAGAGAATCTCTAGTGGAATTTCAAACTGACACAACGATAAACAGCAATTCCGAACCATAACCTGAAAATCAACGACGAATATAGAAAGCAAATATGTACTGCACACAGTCAAACTGCGGAATGACAGTAAAAAAAGAAAGAAAAACGAGAGACTGCAACGAAAAAAAACAAAAGCAAACCTGCTCCTCCATATGTGCCTCCATACCATTCAGTAAAGCAGTAACTACGTCCCGCTTAGTGTCCCTGTTCATATTAACTTTCCGAATAATATAAAACAACGACGCAGATCCTGCTATTTGTAAGGTACTGTCTTCCAAGTGTTTTTGCATTGCTTGTAGTACCAAATGTAGAGCCTCATTATGCCGATTCTGAAATGACTCGTCCGGTTAAAAGAACCCTGAAGAGACTGTACCCATGTCCTTCCGCGAAATAACACGCAATTCCCATTTTCCTATGACACATTCCTTCTCTTTATTATAACGTGTGTAAAGCAAACTAACCAAATTATGCCCAAAACGGTATAGCTGGTAACTTTCATTCAAAACTGCCTGAAGTAGACCGGCCCGATCGCTGTACATTTTTAAAGCAAGAAGTATTTGATTTTCATCCTTATCACCAGCAATCTGCAAGTAAAATAAATAAATAAATTGCGAGGAAAAACTAAAGGATGTTACAACCACTAATGTAAAACACATATAGACTCACATTCTTCGCAGGAATCTCAGCAAAATGCGACGCACTGTCACAGTTGAACAAACCAAGATATTCCAAAGGCTTTTCTAACATTCTAAGTCCAAAAATGTCTGAGCTGATTTTACCCATACTAAAAAAAAAAAAAAAACACAAGATAATTGCGACAAGTAAAGGGGCGTCCTAAGTGATCTCAGAAACAACAGAATTTCACAGTAATAAAAAAATTGCTCCAAAGTACTGTAAAAAGCAATACAAATTTCCATAATCCCTATGAAAAATAAATGGTTAATATTTGAATAAAAAGTTAAATTTGCAACAAGAAGTTGTCCAACAACTGAACCCAGTACATCTTCTTGATATATGGACCGACTGAATCAGCAAGTAAAATCTACCAATAAACGGCGATACAACATTAACGTTAATCGTCGTCAAAAATTAATACAACTTCATATAAAAAAAAAAAGAAGCATAAAAACCACGATACCCTTTAAACGGCCGATCATTCACGGAAGGCTGAGACGCAAGATTTGTTGAAGAAATATCAAGATGGGTCAAAAAACGCAAGTTAGTTACAATTTCATTCAGCGCTGTAACCGGCCGCGGATACACAGCGTTCTCTCTTTGGCTCTGAGACAAGTCTAAGAACCTGAAACTACGAAGTCAGAAGAAAAAAAACTCATTAAACACCGGACATGACTCTAGCAAAAAGTACAGAGATAAAATAAAGAAAAAACACAAAGAACTCACTCGAGCGACTTGATTTGCACAATCACATCCAATGCTTTATGCAATTCAGGAACGTCATATAAAATTAATGTAGTAAGCGTTAGCGTCTGCAAACAATTAAGATCTTCTACGCGACTCCAGTACGAAAGATCCAGCAATTCAACCCGTTTCAAAGGATGCAACACACGGCCAAGAAAGTCATTCATACTTTCATCATCCTCACTATGCTTACGTTTCTGCAAAGGCGTTTTTAATGAATAAATAAGCAATGAACAATAGCTTCACTCGTATTCTACATTAAAGAAAAAGGTCATAAGAAAAACATACTCTATGAAGAGACAGTGACCGAATGTTGGGACACCGCGATGTAAAGGTAGGAAGCTCCATCGTTGGACTAGGCGTAGTGTCCTCTTGGAAATCACAAGGTCTACAAGAAACGCGGCAACTAAAATAAAACAAAACAGTATGTAAAAAAAGAAAATTCCCAAAAAAAATGAACAGCACAAGAAAAGCTCACTGATTAAGGATCGCGTCAATTTCTGTAACATCCACATAATGATCAATATTAATATTCGAGCCTACAAGATCATCTTCACAAAGCATTGGAAGAGTCCCACAAGTACACGCCGTTCTACAATTAACAGTAGCTCTTCGCGGTGGCACAGCAATCATCGGTGCGCGAAGAATTTCGAAAGACGTCATAGCAAGTGAATTCAAACGATCTAGCTGGACTCCTCTTTCTTCCAAAACCCTATTAAATTCATGGCCAACGATCCCCTAAAACGCAACAGATTTGATCCAGATGTTTTGCAAACTAAATAAGAGCAATCAAAATTTTTTCCAATATATAGATAAAATAAAAAGGAACTAAAAAATATAAGAAAAGTAATGTACTTGTGTTTCAGAAATGTCTAGGGATTTTAAACGTGTTTGATGTGCAGCAACCAGATTGGCCAGTAAGCGGTCAGAAAGATGAGCTCGTGTTAAAGGGAGATCTTCCAAAGGTAGACGTTCACCATCGGTAAATTGCTCCAAAGCTTCAGTCGGTGTTACCCCCTGAAAACAAAGATTCAAAAAGGAATAAAGCATACAAATAAATATAACCCCCTAGCTTTCCCAAACACTTTTACATTCGTCCAGTGATTTTCACTTATAACATCAAATAACTTCTTAAAGAATTAATTTATCGCAGTGACTGACCGATTTTATCCACTGGTCCCTAAGAGCCTCAAATATTGCGATACTCGCTGGAAGAGGGAGATGAATTGGTGATGATGATGGACCAGCAAGACTATCGTTTATGGGACATTCTGCATATTTTGCAGTCAGCAGAACTGGTGCATGCTCAGCAACCGCTTTTGCGGAGAGACTGAGTAGCGGTGGAGCTCGCAGCGGAACATCCGCTTCAGTAAACGTCATCGCATAAGAAGGCTACAACGTAAGATATTTATTCAAGGTTAGGTTCATTTGTTCAATACAACACATATATGTGCAAATAAATATAATATTATATATATATATATATAT